ATTTGCAATCTCTTCCGGTAGACGTATGTACGATGAACTAGGTATCGGTTGGAATTTATTTATGTTTAGTAAAAGATGAGAAATTGAGTGAAATGCCCAACCGGAACCACGTTCCTGGAACTCTTCCGCTTGAGTTATAATATCCCCCATCATCTCATCGTAAATCTCTTCCAAAATTGTAGCTGTTGTTATGATTTTAAATTTCGTATTAAAATTTTTTTCAGACACTACCTTATCTTCTTCTTCATCTTTCATATCTGCTTCATCATTATCAAATTTTATAAAATTAGATAGTAGTTCAATTTGTATTTTAACTGATCCACTTAATGTAATTTGGTTGTTAATAAGTGTAATGACCGTTTCTCGCAATCGTGTGAGATAGGAAGATATATCATCATCTGGTTGAACTTTACTAATTTTATAGCTGACAACCCGATTCTTAAAACATGATGCAATCTTTTCCACGCCATTCTCAATAGTTGTTGTATGATTTGTGCGAAGATGTGTTTGTAAAGTGAAAAGTGATGTAAAAGACTCACCACAAATCTTACACGCTCTCGATAAAGATGTTGATAAACGTTGAGCTGGTGTTGAAGAAGAAGTTGATGGTAGCGATAACGATGATAATTGTTCCATCTTAAGAGGTGGAGATGACGATTGACGAGATTCTACAATAATCTTATGTACTTTTCGTTTATGTTTAATTAGATTATCGTTTCGTAAAAATGTTTTGACTTTGTTGAGTACGATCTTATGAACATTCCGTACGTGACGATTGAGATTATTTTTTAACGTATAAGATTTTTGACATAACTCGCAAACGAACATTGTGAATTCGTTTGAAGTTATTACTAAAGTGAATTGAATGTCGCGAATCTACGTGTTATTATCAATACTCAAAGTGAAAGCTGTTGTTGTTCCTGGGTGGGGATTTACTGAGGTTATTTGCGTTACACAACTCGCAAACGAGCACTGTGATTGCTTAAAGTAATTACTAAATTGAATTGAAAGTCAATAGCGTGAGAGAATTTACCAAGGTTATTTGCGTTTTAAATATTCATTTATCAAAGCCAAGGTAATATTTAAAGTCGTCACATAAATTCCAAAGTTGTTTACGTAAGTTAGCGTTATTTGTGAAATATAAAAAAGAAAAAATAAAATATTTTAAATTAAAATAAATTTATTTAAATGAGATTTTTAACATGATATTTATTTAATATACTTAATCTATATGAAATTAAACAATCTAAATATAAAATATAATGAACTTCTGACATGGTAATTACAATAGGTAACAAAGAGGTTCTCAAATTTCCATCAACATCGAAGTCTTCACATCTAATACATAGTACGTCCTCACTCACGCGGGTAATATTTAAAATTCCTTCTGCTAAAGGTATTGTGTAACTTAAAATCACCTCCTTGTTGAAGTAAAATTGCTTGAATATATAAATTAAATGATCCCAATCTTCATGCTGGAGACAAATTTTGTTTAACTCATCATTACACGATTTAAAAATTAACTCTACGCAAGGTATAGAGCCTCTAACAACACTAATACCAACTTTAATGTTAAATTCACCTGCAGAAAATACACTTTCATCAATAAGTTTAATTTCTTTCTTAAGATCCTCTTTGAATTTTACCCACAGTTTGTCAATTAATCCCCAAAAATCTAAACTTACACCGTTGACACTCATGTTTCAGAGCATGTTATATACTAATTAAAATGAAATTTACACATAAACATGTACCCTATATCTAATATTAAATAGGAGTGGGGGATTTAGATTTTAAAATTATACAAATTTTACAACTTTACCAAGGTGCAGATATTTTAGATGTTGAACTTATTTTTGATAATAGAAATTTTAGTTGATCTAATATAGATGTATAGGGACAAGATATACCTAATATTGATAGGCTTTTATCTACGGTATCCACAGTCTCTTTTAAATATTCATTGTATCGAATTATTTTATTACCAACAAAAAAATTCAATAAACCATCTGAAGATTTATAAACACCATCAAAGTAACCCGGTATCCCTGGAAACTCATCAGCAACTGACGTCATAAGTTGCCGTGTTTTAAAATATTGATAATCCACTTGAACAGCATAGATCTCATCGAAGAATATAAAAGGTGAACCATAATTACTTGTCACAACTCCTGTAATATTAGTACTATTGTTAAATCCCAAACCAGTTGCTTCAAAATCCCATTTGTGACGTATCGACATACTCCTAATTTCAATTATATAAATTGAATGATTTATAATAACTATAAGGTTACCATTAGAACCAAAGGAAACCTTATAATTATAATTCGTAGCTTCTAAAACACCTCTCAAAGGCTTTAACCAAGCAACAATGTTTATAGGTGTGGAACGAGTTGGCATTTTAGATTTTAAATCAATTGGCCAAACCCTTCTTTATGTATTAAAAATCCTGAAAACTTATCATCAATATCGCAGATGTGAGATAAGGTGAAGGGAGCTATAGTTTCATGGGACGTAGTTTCAATTTTGGGTGTAGGTTTTAACGTTGTAGTTTCAATTTTGGGTGTAGGTTTTAACGTTGTAGTTTCAATTTTGGGTGTAGGTTTTAACGTTGTAGTTTCAATTTTGGATGTAGGTTTTAACGTAGTAGTAGTAGTAGATACTTTATGTGCTGAAGTTGAATTCCCATAAATTTTCTGTATCGCATGAATATCATTCTGACTTAATGTGAAATTTTCAATATGAACGAATCCATAACTGGGAAACATGATAGAATCAAACTCATTACTATGATCTAATCCTAATGCGTGCCCTATTTCATGTACCAGAACTAGGAATAGATTAGTTTTGCCTGCCAATGTAGTATTAGTTAAATCCTAATCCTCGTCTTTGTCTAAATGAATTTCAATTGCGTTTTTGTAAATGTCAGGGTAGTCGGCGTGCGCAAGAATTCCTCCCATACCATCGAAGCGACCTAAACATGATGCTTTATCATTTCTAATAATTCCATGTTTACCCGATTTAAAAGCGATCAAAAGGTTAGCGTCTGATATTACTCTCCTAAAATGTAAATTGACGTGGTTAGACCAAATGTTAAACGCTTTTTGCGCAATCGCGGTAAAACCGTTTGGATGATAATCACCGTATATACCCCATTTAATATTTAATGAACTCCATTTTCGGTTTTGATCGCTTGATTTCAGAAAGTCGAAAGAATCTTCATTACCACATCTAGGCTTACCAAGTAAATCTACGGTTCTAAAGTCTATTTTACCGGTCACTGGAAGATTAAATGATTTTTGAAAGCGAGATATACCTTTCTTCAATAAGCTTAGTTGGTCCGCATTTAAATCACTTTGACTCACATTAGTTTCTCGTTCGATATACCCATATTTATCGAGAAGCATATAAATTTCTTCATCACGTTCACTTATCGTTCCCAATGTATGTGTCAACATACATGTCCAAAGAAAAATAGTTATTGCTTTCATGATTCGTGACTTTACGTCCACACTGTATGATAGTTTCCAACTAAATGATTAAATGTGAATTGGGTGTTGATTATTATTATAAAACTACAACCAACTTTCTAAAAATTTATTTTCAATTCAAGTAACTTTATGTTGTTTACATAAAAATTTTTTTTAAATTAAAACATTGTTCTGTGAACATACTGCTGGAGAGCCAATATGAAACCAACAATGATTGGAGGTTGAATTTAATTTAGTCTCATCCTCTTCCGCAAATTCTAATGCGATATCCGTTATTATTGATTTATTATGGTTATGTGTAACAAAAATTTGATCGTAGTCAGATTGATTTATCCACCCATCGTTATATAACAACCTGTGATGGTTGCGTTCCAAATATCTTACTGTCTTCCGATCTTGAACATTTAATCGTTGAAATGGTATACTAGGCTTAAGGTGTAAATGTATAGTGTAGTCGGTGTTGGTGATATCCAGAAGAGTAAATTCCTTAACTTCGAATTTAGAGTTGACGTAAAACCCTTGAACGTCTACAACCGCACTTCTGAACGTCATATTGAAATCTAATATGAATATGAACTCATGTTGGAATTTATTCATTTATAGATACCTCCCCACCCAAACTCATGTTGGAATTTAATTTATAATTATAGATACCTCACCACTCAAAGGTTTGTATGTGTACATGGATTCTTGAAGTAGTATACAGTATGCTTTTGTATCAGGTGGNTCTACACATGGTATAAAACCTCTAACAACACTAATACCAACTTTAATGTTAAATTCACCTACAGAAAATACACTTTCATCAATAAGTTTAATTTCTTTCTTTAGATCCTCTTTGAATTGTATCCACAGTTTGTCAATTAATCCCCAAAAATCCAAACTTACACCGTCGACGCTCATGTTTCAGAGGATGTTATATACTAGTTAAAATGAAATTTACACATAAACATGTACCCTATATCTAATATTAAATAAGAATGAGGGATTTTACAACTTTACCAAGGTACAGATATTTTAGATGATGAACTTATTTTTGATAATAAAAATTTTAGTTGATCTATTATAGATGTATAGGGACAAGATATACCTAATATTGATAGACTTTTATCTACGGTATCCACAGTCTCTCTTAAATATTCATTATATCGAACTATTTTATTACCAACAAAAAAATTCAATAAACCATCTGAAGATTTATAAACACCATCAAAATGACTCGGTATCCCTGGAAACTCATCAGCAACTGACGTTATAAGTTGTCGTGTTTTAACATATTGATAATCCACTTGAACAGCATAGACACCATCGAAGAATATAAAAGGTGATCCGTAATTACTTGTCACAACTCCTGTAATATTAGTATGATTGTTAAATCCCAAACCAGTTGCTTCAAAATCCCATTTGTGACGTATCGACATACTCCTAAGTTCAATTATATAAATTGAATGATTTATAATAACTATAAGGTTATCATTAGAACCAAAAGAAACCTTATAATTATAATTCGTAGCTTCTAAAACACCTCTCAAAGGTTTTAACCAATCAATTATGTTTATAGGTGTAGAACGAACTGGCATTTTAGATTTTAAATCAATTGACCAAACCCATTGTTTATAAAGTATATAAATTATTTTTTTATATATTAAGAATCCTGAAAACTTGTCATCAATATCACAGATGTGAGATAAGGCGAAGGGAGCTATAGTTTCATGGGATGTAGTTTCAATTTTAGACGTAGATTTTAACGTTGTGGTTTCAATTTTGGGTGTAGGTTTTGACGTAGTAGTAGTAGATACTTTATGTGTGTAAGTTGAATTCCCATAAATTTTCTGTATCGCATGAATGTCATTCTGACTTAATGTAAAATTTTCAATATGAAGGAATCCATAACTGGGAAACATGATAGAATCAAACTCATTATTATGATCTAATCCTAATGCGTGCCCTATTTCATGTACCAGAACTAGGAATAGATTAGTTTTGCCTGACAATGTGGTAGTAGTTAAATCCCAATCTTCATCTTTATCTAAATGAATTTCAACTGCGTTTTTGTTAATGTCAGGATAATCGGCATGCCCAAGAATTCCTCCCATACCATCGAAGCAACCTAAACATGATGCTTTATCATTTCTAATAAGTTCATGTTTCCCCGATTTAAAAGCGATCAAAATGTTAGGGTCTGATATTACTCTCCTAAAATGTAAATTTACGTGTTTAGACCAAACGTTAAACGTTTTTTGCACAATCGCGGTAAGACCGTTTGGATGATGGTCGCCGTATATGCCCCATTTAATATTTAATGAACTCCATTTTCGGTTTTGAGTATCTGATTTCAGAAAGTCGAAAGAATCCTCATTACCACATCTAGGCTTACCAAGTAAATCTACGGTTCTAAAGTCTATTTTACCGGTCACTGGAAGATTAAATGATTTTTGAAACCGAGATATACCTTCATTCAATAAGCTTTGTTGGTCCGCATTTAAATCACTTTGACTCGCATTAGTTTCTCGTTCGATATACCCATATTTATCGAGAAGCATATAAATTTCTTCATCACGTTCACTTATCGTTCCCAATGTATCTGTCCACATACAAGTCCAGAGAAAGATAGTTATTGCTTTCATGATTCATGAATTTACGTCTACACTGTATGATAGTTTACAACTAAATGATTAAATGTGAATTAGGTGTTGATTATTATAAAACGACAACCAACTTTATAAAAATTTATTTATTTACAACTTAAATAACTTAATTTTGTTTACATAAAAATTTTTTTAAAATTAAAACATTGTTCTGCGAACATACTGCTGGCGAGCCGATATGAAACCAACACTGATTGAAGGTTGAATTTAATTTAGTCTCATCTTCTTCCTTAAATTCTAATGCAATATCCGTTATTATTGATTTATTATGGTTATGTGTTTCCAAAAACTGCTTCTTTTGATTCCCCTTAACAAAAATTTGATCGTAGGAAGAAATTAAGTGATCAATTACATTTAAGCCTTCAGATTGATTTATCCACCCATCGTTATATAACAACCTGTGATGGTTGCGTTCCAAATATCTTACTGTCTTCCGATCTTGAACATTTAATTGTTGGAATGGTATACTAGGCTTAAGGATTTGAAACATGAAATCTTTGGTCGCACTCACTGTGGGCAAATTTCCTTCGGGTGGCCATTTTAAACCAGCTATTTCTAAAGATTCGAATGAGGGATGTTAAACCCGGTTCACGTACCCGCTCGATTTCAGTACCATTATGCTCAAATGCTATATACTCAAATAGAAATGTCGGTAAGTTGTGTGTTAGTTGGATGGTATCAGTTGGATCGTTTAATTTTTCTTTATAATCCCCCTCAATACGTATATAACTTTCGAAGAATGAAAATAGAACATCTTCTTGGTTTAGTTCAATGGTGAATATATCTTTGTTTTGAAAAGAATTTGTGGATGGATGATAACTATGCACTTCTTCTCTGGCGATCGAATTATCTACGATGGGTTCGCGGTATATATTTAACTTTTGTGTGGACATGATAACCTAATTGCTTGAGGAAACGTCTGTTGTCCGCTCGCAATGAAGTCTTTCTGTTAACTGTTCTATACGTTCTCTTTCCGGCTGAGTTATAATGTTTTCTTTTTAGAGATGATGATTGAGTATCGGCTTTTAATCGGAACAACAGTCCCATTATTAAGTTCGTTTTAGTTCTAATCTAATAACTATTTCTTCTAAACGAAAGTTAACCAATTTACCACGCTGATCGAGTAATTTGAGTGTAATGTTCGATATCATATATAATAAGTGGGGTTCCTTGGTTCTATATTTATACTGAAACCTGGATCTACGGTTGGAGCGAATTCATATAACGTGTGAGATAATTTATTATTATAATACGAACCGGAAATTATATTACATTCCACTTGAACCGATGTCACCCGTATTATATTTACCGGAAGATCTGATTTATGATTTTTCAATGCATCTAGTTTACGATTGGAAAAACCCAATATAGAAGCTATTGTATTTGGTTGGGTGAAATCTATAGTGAAAAAAATTTTTCAGGATCATCAACCGTATTCAATCCGATGCGGTGTAAAATCTGTTTTTGTAAAAAAAGTTCAATGTCCGTTATTTCATATNGGGTGGATAAATCAATCGGAAGGTCTAAATGTAATTGATGGTTTAATTTCCTCCTACGATCAAATATTTGTTAAGGGAAATCAAAAGAAGCAGTTTTTAGAAACACGTAACCATAATAATAATTCAATAATAACAGATGTTGCGTTAGAATTTGCGGAAGAGGATGAAACTAAATTAAATTCAACCTCCAATCAATGTTGGTTCCACATCGGCTTTTGTCCATCGGTATGTTCACAGAACAATGTTAAAAAATTTTGATGTAAACAAAATAAAGTTACTTGTATTTAAGTTGCCTGAATTATTATTAGAAATATTCCTATTGTATTATTAAATTTATGTTTTAATCAATAAATTAATATTTATTTTTGTTAAAAAATATGTATTTTAATATTATCAAAATAATTGTATCTTTATTCTCTTTTACCACCACCACCAGATGGCGTCACATGAATTTTAAATTTACGCGCGTCATCTATCTGACGTCATCGTGATAAGGTTCGTCGATCTAGGTAGCCTCATTCAAATTTCCCGCTAAAAAGAGGGTTCTTGGAGAATGCTGCGCTCTAATTGGTTGAATTTAAAATGTGGGCGTGGCCAGAAGAAGGTAGTGGTGGGGATAAAATGTGATTTCAGACCCCCCTACTTTAAATCTTATGGTATAGTATTGCATTTTTTATTCTCTCTTCCATTGGTTGGAAAACGGTACCAACCCATCTCACCGACATTGTAAAATGTGGATCTGATCTGAATTTCACTACATACCACAGATTTATTCAGAAAAAAAACATTAGCATGGGGTCATTACAATATTGAATAATTTTAAGCGTAACTTAGTTGTTATTTAATAAATCAGAATGTTCTCATCGACTTTGTAAAAACGTAGGAATCCAGCGGAATCTCAACCGAAATGTTAATAAAGTTTATTTAATTTAAATAAAAGAAAATATTCATTTTAATACTACCACCGAATTGTTAATAAAGTTTATCACCCATCAGGTAACACGCCCCCGCCCAGCGCGCGCCGGTCAACAGGCAAAACGCCCCCCCCGCACGCGGTGGATCGGTAGATGGTGGATCTGATCGGTGGATCTAAACGGTGGATCTGATCGGTGGATCTGATCGGTGGATCTGATCGGTGGATCTGATCGGTGGATCCGATCGGTGGATCTCATCGGTGGATCTGATCGGTGGACCTCATCGGTGGATCTGATCTGAATTTCACTACATAAAACCAGATGGCGCCACATGAATTTTGAATTTCAAATTTCCCAGCGCCATCTATCGCTCGTCAGGGAAACCACCCCGTTTTTAGTTTGACTACACGCCACCAGAAGGCGCCTTTTTAAGTTTCAATACACGCCACCAGAAGGCGCCTTTTTTAGTTTCACTACACGCCACCAGGTGGCGCCTTTTTTAGTTTCACTACACGCCACCAGGTGGCGTCCTAAAGGTGGATCGCGCATGCGCAGTGGATCGGTGGATTGGTCCAGAATCGGCATTAATAATCTACTCATAGCGTTTGTAACTAACCAAGCCGAAGTTTTTTCCCCAATTGTCGAATCTTTCGCTTTCACTCTTTCCCAAGCGTTATCCTCCAAACGTCTATCAGCCTCGTGACGTTGTTTTAAAGATGTATTTTCTGAGTATGCTATATCGTGTTCTCTACAAGCCCGATCTAATGGATTTATTCCTTTATCACCTCTAGCCAAACGCTTTTTTAATTTTGTTCCGGGTCCGCAAACTTGGTAGCCTGGAACGTGTAACTCAACAGGTAGTTTATTGATAAGTGTATTAAGTATTCCGCTTCCTCCCACTGTCGTAGATGTACTATCTCGAATGAACGGCATACTCAACTAAATACTGTTCACGGTTTCACATCTATTATATAGTATCTGTACATGAAGATTAAAACTCATTTTAGTATCATAATGCGTGTAGTGCGACATCCATCTCTCACAATGTCATTAACCAATCTCGATCGGCTGATGATGATGACGAAGATGATAACAGCACGTAGACATGGTGACCTCATGACGATAGTGTGCGGCCCGAGCGGATGTGGGAAAACCAATTTGATGTTAAATCTCATTTTCGATAAAAATGGTTTAACTTTTGAAAATATTTATCTATACTCAAAATCCTTACATCAACCGAAATATAAATTTTTAGAGATAATTATGAAACAATTACCTGAAATAGGATTTTATCGATTTACGGATAATGATGCGGTTATAGATCCATCTAAAGCTAAACAAAACTCAATTTTCATATTTGACGATGTAGCATGCGATAAACAGGATAAGATTCGATCATTTTTCTGTATGGGGCGACATAAAAATATTGATTCGTTCTACCTTACGCAAACCTATACCCGAATACCTAAACACCTAATTCGAGATAACGCAAACGTCCTAATTCTATTCAAACAGGATGAGATTAATTTAAAACATGTGTATGATGAACACGTTAACACCGATATGAAGTTTGATGTTTTCAAGGAAGCTTGCAAACGGTGTTGGAATCACGATTAATATAACCCTCTGATTATTATGAAAGATTTTGAATTAAAAGATGGCAGGTATCGTGTAGGAATCTATAAATTTATTTACCCAGACTAAATTATTACATTGTTATCTAGTATTTGCGAAAGTAAGCATGTCACATGGTGATGAAATGACTAAGCGTTCCATTCGTGAAAGAGATAAAGCTATAATTAACATAACAAATACTATTAAGAAAAAATATTTAGCGCTTAAACTCGGTCGAGAAAACGATGATCGTCTTATCGCTAAACTGATTTTAAAACTCCAGGATTTAGGAAAAATTAACATTTCCTGAAAACGATGATGAACATAAAACGCCGGATGTAAAACAAAAATTGAAGGTGGAGGATTTACCTATAGAAAATCTACCGTTACAAATTCGGGATTTATATTACACGTTTGGTAAAAGAGGGGAAATTGATGAGAGAATGGGTATACGTTATGATCCTGATGAAAACGATTGGATGATTGGATAGAAGACTGTTCAATTTAAACCTTCCCATATTATCCTCGGAGGTGAAAAACGTATTCAAAACACTCCGGGTTTATATGAACTTATACAGTTAAAACGACCTACAAATTATACTGAAGAAGATCTACAACGCTACAAATCTATTCTAGAATATACGGGTGCACATAAGCGGAATTTTACGGGTCAAATAGTTGGGAATAAATCGTACAAGTATACTAAAATTGTTAAACCTTTATTTACATCTCATAAATCAGGAGGTGGATTAATATCCGGAAGACATCTTGAAGTGAACTCTAAAATCGTTGAGTATAAATACTGGGATGATGTTAATGAGTTGGTAGATCGATTGAGATTATTGTAAGCATCACATGCGGCAGGAAATAATTCCCATATCAATGAAATTACATCCATTATAGAAGAACTGAAAGAGAGCGGTATTATATCATAAAAATAGCAATTTATGTA